TCCCTAATTATGCTACAGTGTTAAGCAAATTCCAATGCTGTATTTTTCAAGTCTTTCTTAACACCTAACTCTGCTTTTCTGCTCCTCTGAAGCCCTGGGATGAATACCACGAAGGGGTAACATTTTTTGTCACTGCAATACAAACGTTATTTTGTTGTTCCCTTGATCTACAAAATCATGTCTTCTACTGTGTGTGAAGCAAAGTAACTAACTAAAAACATGAAACAATGTTTCTAATCAGTAGGCATAAAAATCAACATAAATAACTTTCTGAGCTTGTTCTTAATTTCTCTGCCCTCTCAGGAAATAAGTAGACTTTTCCTACTTCAGTTCTACCCTCCTCATAATATGTTAAAATAGGTCTAAGAGTGTGCATTTTATAAAGCACCTACAGGACTCTTATTGATTACCACCATCCAGCATAGTACTTGGGAACTTTTACCTGAAATTGTATTTTGTTCCTAATTTTACATATATTTTCAACAGGAAATGGTTTCCAGCATTCCAGAGAACACACAGGCACAAAACCTCATCTCCGCCAAACATACATACTACACATTCACCTATCACTTTAGAGTTTAAGAAGTTCTTCATTTCTTCCAAGAGGAGAAATTAATCCATCACAGACCAAAAGAAAAAGAATTTTGTAGTGGTTCTAAAGTGTATTAAATGAAAGAAAAAAAAAAAAAGTAGTCTTAAAAAAAGAGTCATGTTTAAAGACAGATCTCAAAAAAAAAAAAAAGGGAGTTTCTATTGTGAAAAAGTAGTATCAAAAGTTCAAATAAGTCATTTGTAAATCAATTGCACAGAGGGAATACACTTTTTTTTTTTTAAATCATGATTTACAAATCCATTTTTGGATCACGTATCAGAAATGAACTACTTTAATCAAAGCAACTCATAAGCCTGCAAATGTTTCAGTAAGATTCAATCCTTATTTACACAAGCAAAGAACAGCCACCGACATCACAGTACTATGCCAATTTTAAAAAGATCCATTCAGACAAAACCTAGTCCAATGATATGTGATTATTCCTATAAGACATACAGGAAAGAGACATTTTTAATTAAAGAGTAAGGAAGTATATGGGGTTTTTGGTTTTTAAAAGGTCTTCCATGTCAAATTTAATTCCTCTCTCAAAATCTCTAGCATGTGGGTTTCACATGACGACATTTTGCAACTATAATCAAAATAGTATTTGATCTCTTAAACGTGTTTAGCATGATCCTGTTCTGTTTCACAGAATGCAGCAGTGTCATTCTTTCACTAAAGTAAGAAGTTCTGATGATATCTGCCTGAAAAGGTCAGGTATACAAGCCCTTCTAGAAAACAACAGTATGAACAATACATGAAGATTTCAAGGGCACCTTAAAATACTTAATAACGTTTCATCCTAGAACTTTGACATTTAATATTAATTTCAGATTAATATTAATTTGTAATTATTTATGAATTTGTTCATGGTAATGTGTGTATTACACAGATGCATTTTGTCCCAAATATGACCAATACATATCACTTACCTTTTCATTATTGTAATAAGAAATGCTGTCTCCATCGAACTTAACCCAGCGCTTTTGAAACATACGTTTGCTGTGAATCAAAAATTAATACACTTAAAATCATAAACATGAGTTAACACTGGCTTTTAAGAATGTCTCAAGAACAAGTTATAGAAAGGTTAAATCATGTTTAGCTTCTTGTGTTTCAGCCTAAACATTCTGAAAATTACAATAAACCTTAGCCCTATCATATATTTTCAAAAGGAGAATGCTGATTTCAAATATAACAAAAATACGTATGACTATTTTTACTGGAGGCAAAAGAATTTTCTGAACACAGAGCATACCTTTAATGTTACAAGCTCTGTAAGATACTTTCCAGAAAGGAAAGCTGAGAACCTAAAGTGACCATCTCATTGCCATTTTAATGAGGAGGACCTCTCTGTGTACAGGCTATGGTATCTTCAGTCATCAACATCTACTGAACACACTCTTCCCTGGCCAATGAATAAATAGTGGTCAGACAAAATCACTCAAAAAGTACAACATAAAATTTCATTTTTCATTCTGTGTTATCAACTGGACATCATTAATCAGAAGCTCATTTGATTATTTCAGTTTGCCATTAACTCATGCTCTATAAGGAGCTCTTAAAAAATTATTTTTACATGAACCTGAAGTATGCTCATTAAAGATGTTGACAGCCTATCAGTTATAATCTATAAAAGTTTTGATTCTAAAATCTATTTAACAAGTTAATTAAGCAAGAATAAGATCCCACTCTAACATCTCTTTTTCCCCAACATTACTTCATTTTCTGCTAAGTGAGTGCTCTGCTTTAGGATTAGTAGACTGCGATAGTTTATCAAAACTTTAATCAAATAGCAGCTCTGGTTTAATTAACTTGTATTATATGATTACAATAAGTTATCATTTTTCATAACCTGAAAAGGACAATGCAAAAATCTACTTTCCATTAATGTGTCAATAAACTTCAAGACGATGCAGGGAAGAAAAAGTGAACTTAAGTATCATGTACAGTGTGAGTAAACTGAATGGCTTACAATTTTTAGTGAGTTAACTAAAAACAAAACCTGTACTTTAAATGTACAATTTGTAGCATTTTAAGAAAACAGTACATATCCATTCCCCTGAGGGGAAACAAAGTGCCAGATGTAAATCAGAGCTCTAGAAAAAGGAGAAGGGAGGCAGTGAGGAAAAACAGAAATAAACATTCAGTTGGCAGGGACAGAAATTAAGACTGTTTTAAGGGATGAAAAAAAAAAATCTTTTTTCATTGGTTTCTTTAGGTCTTCAGATATTTGAGAAATGTTATTGTAAGAAAAAGAACCAAAAAACATAGTATTTATTAAACCATGCTTAAGAAAGAGTTCGTGAAATTTAGCCAAGAAATATCACTGGCTCAAGGCTAATGACCCTGCAACTGTACCATTCAGTCCTAACCAGTACTAATTTTGTGGTTAACTCATTATCTTTTTCAAATAATATATTCTTACACAGTACTTTATCTGAAGCCTTCATACTTCATTCACAACTCTATTCTTTCAAATAGCACACGATGAGTTAACTGTAATCAAGAGCTATACATTTTATCCCTCTATTCACTGACAAAAGCATTATTTAAAAAAAAAAAAAATCCTGTAAGTGAAATAAAACAAAAGTTAAAGCTAATTGCAGCTCTCTGAGAACTCAATACACTAACAATTCTGAAAAAAAGATGTGCAAATGCATACTATAATGGGAAAGTCTTCTGATGCTGTGTATATTATTCTTTGATTCATGGCAAAAGTAAACTATGACAATTCATAAATGTGAACGAATTTTCAGACAATTAAAAAAAATGTTTGAGCAGACTGAAATTGCATAATGGTAAAATAGGTTTTTTAAACAGGTTTATTCTTTCTTGTTATTCATCTTGAACTATGTATCATTGCATCAACACAAACAAAGCCAAAATGAAACAACTGAAAACTTTTTAATCCAGAACTCTTAAAAAAGGAACAACAACAAAATTGCTCTACAATAGAACTCCTTCCGGTAGGCTCAAACAAAATTGTATTCCCAACCAATTTAATTCAATAACTTTGTCACTACACTGGAAAAAAAAAATAGTTGCTGTACTAGTTGATGAGTGATGATTATTATAGCCAAAAATAATGAAAGGCCAAACAGTTTAATAACATCTTCCAGTGCAGCTAAACATACAGTCCTAAAAACAAATAATGCAGAACTACTAAGGCTTGAGTAGAAGTACAGTAAAATAGATGTATTACAGCACTAACAAGGATGACAGCTTTAATTTCTAGATGCTAAGTACTAGTGAAGATCGGAAAATAGACTTAAAAAGTAAAATTGTGCCATTTTCAATACAAAAAGGAATTCAGAAGAAAGTCATAAGAACAACTAGAGAATTAGAAACTACAATTTAAGAATAGTCTATTAAGTTTATTAAGGAGGAGGTTAGAAGAATTTCAGAGTTTGCAGTTATTTATGAAGGGAAGATCTGATACTAGAGAGCTCTTTAGCATAAAACAACCTAAGAGCTAAAATAAACTTCAGAGTAACATCATTAAAAACTAAGAATTCAGAAGAGCCCTGTGCTCTTGTAACAAAAAAAAGTTCCCTTTCTTTTCACCACTAGTAGTAAGCAATGATCAAATACAAACTTGACATCTTATATGCAAACATACATCTTCACAATTTCATAGTAATCATTGCAAATAACATACCCTTGAGGGGATAATTTATCCAGCCATCCTGCTTTAACCTTCTTTACTGATGGTCCATAAAAACAAGCATACGGTGTTATTGATTCATTTCCAATCAAAGTTTGATCTCCATCAAATTGCTGAAAATGCATTTGTTCACTGACCAAGCGATCTGAATCTCCGCCTTGCATCTTACTACAAGATGCTGAGTGTGTTTTGGCTTTATTTTTATTTTTCTTTGAAGGCAAAGAACATTGTTCCACAATAGAATATACAGATTCACTTTCAGATTCTTCTGGTGCTAATGATTTGTTTTCCTGAGACTGGGATCCATTTTCTCCAAATTCCTTTGTATTCTCTTTCTGATTGTTAAAGAAACTAGAAAGAAAAAGTGCATTTTACTCTTAATGTATTGCTACAATGCACAAATATATAAAATTATCAATTAGAACAAATATTGGTAAGACCTATTTTAAATAAGTTCATAATTTTTTAACCATCATGATAACCACAGACATGCTAAACACAATGTATCTTATAACTATGACCATACTGAATCCTACTTTCTCCATTCAACAGGACTGGTAGACAGGTAACACTTACTAGATCCTTTAGAAGCCTGAATAGAAATTTAAAATTAATACTCCTTCCTCAGAAAACTAGCTTTGTTCATTTTAATACTTGGGAGGACTTGCAGTATCACCTCTCTCTTCCCTCTCCTACCTCAGTAGAAGTACAGACTGAAGACTTACAGAAGGACATTAGCTCCTATTTCTTCAAACCACTGGCCACTGCCTCATGGCAGGAGCAGAGAATGGTTTCATTCTGTGTTTGTTTTTTTGTTGTTGTTTTGGTTTGGTTTGGATTTGGTTTTGTTCTTTGGGTTTTTTTTCTAATGTGGAAGTAGAATATGAGAGTACTGGGACATAGTTAGCTAGGAAGCATACAAGAATAAAACTTGTGCCTTCTTTGTTCTGACTGAGGAAAAAGAAGGACATCTTTCAAATACACAAGATTCTGAAACCTGGGTTACAGTCTCAGTACAGCCACAGAGGCAAACTTTGCCTTCTAATGCATGGGGTAAAGGCTCAAGTAAAGGGGGGGGGGGGGGAATTAAAAAAAAAAAATAGAGTCATGGTTGTGCCTTCAGAGGTAGAGATCTACTTGAGATATCAGTTCCTCTTTACATTTTTCTCTGGAACTCTTATTTAATACCATAGATTCTTGTAAGAAGAACATTCTTCATTCATTCCTAGATCCAATCTATTTTCACAAGCCAGTAATTCATTTCCATGAAGTTCCTATAAAAGAAATATATTGTAACCAACATTTGTACTGGAGTAGTACGTGATGTTTAAATTACAGTAGACATAAATCACACACAAATAACCATCTAACTAGCAAAGTTATTCTTTGTCACATTTTAAAATACGCATTTGAAATAACACATTTTTAAAAGTACATTCAAGATACATTCAATAAATGTTATTTTCAATATTTTCATTTTAAATAATAATACTCTAGATAAAACATTTGAGCATAGTCAAAACCACCTGATATTAACAAACCAGACAGATGATAAATTCAGTGTACAGAAATATCAGTGCTCTGATTTTTCTTGAAGCATAACTGAATATAATTTTTACCCTGAAATTTTCTAAGCTCAAGAGCCACGTGTTGTATTTTAAATATGCTATTTACCATTTGCCACTGCTAGCCTATCTTTCATATCCATACTTCTTCTCTGAAGTAAATATACAGCCTTCACAGTACAGTAAAGATAAAATAATGGTAAGTTCAAATTCCTACAGTAAAACTGAACCCAGTCATATCAAATATCTTGCATTTTCTTGTCAAGTTGTTTTTTGTAAAAGGCACATCTATTAATGTTTGTTTAGAAATCTTTATCACAAACTGCTTATGGTGCACAAAATGTCAAGGTTAACACTGTTCAAGAACATTACATTTCACACTTCCTAAACTTGATCTGACAATCATTGCATTACTAAGCTTCTCAATACTCATCTTTCTTCCTCTTTTTTTTTAAAAAAAAAAACACTAAAATGAACATCTCTGTGCTTTCTGATGGAAGCATTTTAATTTACTCATTTAAACTTTGATGTGTATGTCACAAAGCTGAAGGGTGGCAGAAAAAAAGTGGATAAGCTTTCACAATGCTTGCCATTTGTTTTCAGAGCAGCAGTACCTCATCTTGTACTTGAGGACTGTATCTTGGCAACATGAAAAGGCAAGCTTAAAAAAGCACATAACCAAAAGCTGAGTACATGCACACTGCAGCAAAAAATTGTGGAAATCGCAGGCTGCTGCTAGGATAAACCTAGGTGAACAGTCTGCCTTCCTCTGCCAGCCAGGTCCATCATAAAAAAAAAAGTTAAATTAAAAAAAACCAACAACCACCACCACCCACACACCACACTTAACTATGTTGTAGCACCAAGGATTAGACCAAAAAAAAAAAAAAAAAAAGAAACACCCATACACTTTCCACACAAGCTAAACAGGAAACTCAAAAACAACCTGCACATTGCTTATAAAATGCTTAGATTGACTGGAATCTCACAAAAGGAGGGAAAATATGTGTGTCCCACTTCTAAGCAATACTTAAGAGTTTAGTATCGTCATCCAGGAAGCATCTTTGGAACAAAAATGGTCAGTATCTTTTACCTTCATTTGCTTATCAGGATGCAACTGCAAACCATAACCACTGAACCTATGTGGTAGTAGCTCTTCCTCCCTTTCATGAACTATTACTGTAACAGTTTTATGTCCTACTTTTGCTCAATCCACAATCTTCAGCGCTTGGGCAAGTGAATTCAGTGAGCCTAAGAACTTCCAAGCAATAATCAAGAAATGCATTCCTATTGCTAGTCAATTTTAAAATTTAGAAGCCCACAAATGAAGACAGGTTGTGGGGACAAGGAGTTCTATTTGCTCACAAAGACACATATTTCACCCAAATTAAATCATTAGTATTTCCAATGTGTTGTTTACAGAATTACACTGCAAGATGCTCAGACTCAAGATGAGACAAAACTCCCACCTCCTGCAAATCTCTAAGGTATTATACAAAGCTATTTAAGCAGCATCATTTTCTCCTGCAGACACCTTTATGAGAGAAGTATTTCTTAAGAAATAGGTATATATTACACAGAAATCATCTCTAAATATGTACTGTTCTTATGTACAGGAAGCACCTACCCTTAAGGAAAAAATCTGGCTTCTGGATCTCAGACAGATGGAACTGCCTACTTGCAGCTCTGTATAAAAATCTGCTACTTTCAATCAGAAAGTAATTCAGATGTATTTTTGGTTTTAGCTTTTTCTAACAGGTAGTCTTGATCACAACAGCAAGTCAGGAAAGCTGAATGCTAAAATATGGACTGCATTAAGCATATTGGGACTGAAGCTACATTAAATAAAGACTCAGTGACATTCAGGACAGGCATCTTCCTTAAGAGATACTGTCCTAGTCTTCTATTAAAGCTATCGTCACACTGTTTTCCTCAGGTTGATTCTTGAACCATGGTTTGGCAATGCAATTTTGTAACAGGTCCATAAAGATAAATTTTTCCTTTTAAAACACTCAGGGTTCTTTTTTTAAAGTGGTAAGATTTGCAATCTGGCCAGCATTCCACAGTATCACAATGCTTCAAAGCTCACACAGTTTACTAAACTAAATACACACATTTAATTTAGTCTGACAGTCTAGAGCAAGAAATAAAGGCAATACAGTTTTTCTGTGTCCTGGTTTTTAGCTGGATCACAGCTGAGTTTCTTTTTCAGTAGTTAGAATAGTGCTGCATTTTGCTTTTCAACCTGGGACTTGTTGTGAGAGAAACACTGATAACATAACAGTGTTTGCATTCTTGTTGCTGGAAATGAAGGACACTGTGTTTTGTTAGTTTACAAGCACAAGATTTAAGGGGATGAGGAATATTTAAATTAATAAGCTAAACTGGTATTTGGATATGCCAATGGGATATTCCATATCATATCACATCATGTTCAGTATATTAATGAGGGTCTCTTCCTCTCTTGGATCTCTCTGGCTTTCACTCAGGATCTTGCTCTTCTGGGATTGCGGTTTCGGTTCAGGATTGTTGCTCCTCTGGGATCATTATCGGGGAACGGGCCGGGCTTGGTCAGCAGGTGGTGAGCAGTTGCACTGTGTATCACTTATTCGTGTATTTTATTACTGTTATTATCACTACTATTTTAATATTAGTATTATTTTAAGTTTTCTTTTATTTCTATTATTAAACTGTTCTTAACTCAGCCTACGAGTCTCCTTACCCTTGCCCCCAATATTCTCCCCTATCCCCTGGGGGTGGAGGAAGTGGGTAAATGGCTGTGTTGGCTGCTAGCAAAGGGCTGGCCCAGTGAAACTATCACACAGGAAGAAGGGTAATGGACAACTTACAAGCCCTTAGAACAAACTTCAGTCAGTCAGTATAACAATTTGCTATGAATTCCTGTATATAGACAAACTATTCTCACATGGGGTTATCTTTTAAAATGAAGCAGCAGTTACAAGCCATAAAATCTCAGATACTTCACAGTGTTATCTAAACTTTCTTATTTGTTTCTAGGATACTTGATACCTACTGAAAAAAAACCTGGAAGTAGAATGTATACCTTAGGACCTTTGTTTTATAGTTCTTCCTTATGACCTTTGTCTGCAATTAAGTCCTAATTGAACCAAAATTAACTATGAAGTTCCCATCAGGCATGTGAAAAACACAACTCAAAAAACTGTTCACTTACATGGAAGTGACGATTAAAATCCCAATCTCAGGGAAAGCATGTTATAATATGTTGCATCAATCATGATTCTACAACCAGCAGAAATACCAATTTTATTTCAGGCATTTAATCCTGTTTTTATTTGGTGCCTTTGTAAGATAAGAAAGATTGCTGACAGCGTTTCTGGGTATGCTTTTTTATAACCATTTCAATGAAACTTATGGAATAGTGCTAAAAAGTAACAAAAAGGCTAGGAAACCTTTTCTAGAAAACTTGCTTATGCCATTGTACTAATTACAAAGATGTCAAATTTTGAATTTTTAAATACATTGGCACAGAAAACAATAATTGGCACAGATAAGACACCGTACACAAGGAAAGAAAATTAAAGCTCAAAAGTCACTTTTGTGTACAGATAAGAACAAGATGGAGAAACAAGACATATGCATATCTCGTGAAAAAGTCAACAAAACAAGAGGCACAATGTATTTCCAAAGAAAAGAAAGTACACATCAAAAATAGAGATAATTTTTATGCTTCTGAAACCACTCCAATTAGAAGATGAAATTTGAACCATTTATTTCCACTGACCAATTCTTAAAAATTAAAATTGTGGGGGGAAAAAAAATCCTAGGCATCCATTTGAGCAGCTTTTATTTTAAACAATAGTTTACAATAGTTTAAAAAGTGAAACATTAAAGTGAAGACCAGGACATAAACTAAGAATAATTTATTATTTTCTCTAACTCAGGGCCTTGAGATCAGCTGGAACAAGTATAAGCAATCATAGAATCAACAATTTCTGGTCTGCATCCTGCTGAGACAGAAGTAGGAGCTGGGATTCATAGCATTTGGCAGATGCCTCACTAAGCTCCTCTTACCTCACAGATCTCCACGATTCAGAAGCCTGTTCACATGCCACCTATGGCATTCATACCCTCAATTATTGATCCCAATGAAAACATTCACTTCAGAGAATCCTATGCAAAAGTTACTTTCTGGGGCTACAGCAAGTTTAGGCTATGTATGGAAAATATCAGAAGTCCTGAGGCCTTTCATACACAAGAATTAAAAAAGGGTATGGCCAAAAGTGACCATTAGATCATCTAAGGTAACAAGTAAGCTGCTTTCATAGGATGTACACAAGCCTGTGCAGAGATGCCCATTCTTGAACTTCAATTATAAGACAGAAAAGCCACTTTTAACTTTACAAGTTAATTCTAATGGTTACCCACCACTTAACATCACTTACGCACAAACTATTACAATATACCACTGTAGCTAAAAGGGTAAAAGGAAGACATCAAGGTACTCTGCAATCAATTGACTGTTTTGCATTTGATACGGCAACTCTGGGCATTAAAAAAAAAAAAAAAAAAAAGTATCTCTCCTATGTTGTTCAAAAAACAAAACCAAACCAAAAAAACCCACAACCAACACACAACATAGCTTCCTATTACTACTGAACAGTACAAGGTGTATCTCAAGATTAAGAAAAGTCAGAAGTCCACATATATTTACACTATAAACCTTTTCATGTACCTAAAAAGACAGAAAGGGTACTGAAAACTGAATAAGCAGAGGAAAAAAGAGTTAAGGGCAATATAAATACGTAACATGAAGATTCAAGTGAAATAGACTATTTATATCCAAGCTTCTCAACTTACTTTAGCATCTTTAGGGTTGTCACAAATAAAGGTTTCCCCATATGGAGAGATGATGGATGGTTTTTCTTCTGTAAAAGTTTCTTAAAGAAAAAAAAAAAAAAAATTGAGTCATACAGTGTGCAATGCTCTACTAAAGTACTAATAAAACCAACAAGGGACACAGATTTTTCTGCTTGGGATTTTTCTGTCCCAGTCAGAAAAAAAATTTGAAGAACAAGAAACAACTTCCCATTTCTAACTGAACTCCAGACATCTTTCTTCCACTCAGACACTACCTACTCAAACACTACTACTATACTATATAATCTACATATAACTTGCATACAGGCATTTTCTTCTTTCCTACCCTGCATAAACTTAAAAAAAAACAACAACAACAACAACAAAAAAAAAAAAAAAAAAACCAACCTTTTGTTTCATACTCTTAGGAGCAATAGCTCCAAAGTGTTCTTTATCCTGACTTTTTTTCTTTTTTAAAAAAGAAAAAATACACAAAACCTAATTTATGCACAACCTTCATTTTGTCCCCAAGTATTTGCTTGAAATTAATGTGCATAACTTCAAACTAGACGTATCTCTAGAGTATGAAAGAACTTTTGTTTATAACTGACTGCACAAGACTTCTAAACTCTTCCAGTAAACTATTTAATACAATTAATTTCCTGTTATTTCCTGGAGCTATGAACACTAACAAATTAAGCAGCATTAGTCAGGAATACACTGCTTGTATATTTCAAGAAAAAGCTAACTCTGCTTAAAAAGCTGGATCTAATCTTATAAACTCAAAATACTGTAGTCTAAAAAATTATATTAAAATAAATGAGGTTTAACAACTGGATTTTCTGATTTTCAGATAGTTCATAAGCAAAAATAAGTAAAAATGTAGAAGTAGTTAAATGCTCTGCTATTATACACATCACTTTTTCCAGACCTTCCTGATGCCTAGTATTTCTTAAAAATAAGCAAGTCAATACTCATTTCAGACAACTTATGATCTGAGGTTTCTTTTTCCTCAATATTCAAGATGTAAATATCAGCGTGCTTAACTCACTGTTTTGTGAAATTTGCTTCCCAGTGCAAGAAATATTTACAAGATCCACATTTCTTCTTTTCTGAAGGGAACTTGAACAAAACAAAGCACAAAATGAAAATATTAAGTGAAATTTTCCAGAAATTGAGCAGAAACATCTTATACATTTAAACTATTATAAATATATATTAACAATCAATTTTAAGTCTTGTGAAAATTTATTATTTAAAAGTCACCCCACAATGTATTTTCTTCCCTTTATGACACTGAACATTTCTCTGATCCTAGCACATATCTTGAATTTGTTTTTTATTTGTTTGTTTTGAATTGACCTTATGATACATTTAGATTGCTGGGAAGGATGGAGATCACCTACTCTTCCCCCACCCTTCACCTTCCCTTCTCCTTGACACTGATTACCAATACCTATATCTAAAGAAGGATGTAATAGGAAAGTCTAATCTAACATTAAGCTCAAAGGGATCCTAAGCATAGAAATCCAGACAAAAGATGCCCTCAACCACTGAAAAAATAATCTGTACAGTTCCGACGTCCTAAAATGAATTTTTTCACAGTTTTCAATCTCAGAGATAAACAACATTGCATTGCAACTGCCTGTGACTACCACTGCAAATTTTGTAGATGGATAAGAATGTGTCCCCATACACAACAGAAAAAATATTTTATTATTGGTGCTGTGCTGGTTCCTAAATATTTCAGCCATTTAACATATAGTAGCACTCATCATGCTGCTAAAGATCACATTTTTAAAAATTATTGTTATTAATATCATTGAGATTTCAGGCTGAGACAGCAGCTCTACAATGACAACACAGAAACATATATGCCTGAAGTAGTAGATTTCTAACCCATCTTCACTACTCAAGCGGTCTGTAGTACTGCTGTTCTCAGCCAAGCTCTGTTTTCCTGTTAACAGTAACAGTGATTTTTCCTCTTAATTTCATTTTCTCTGCTTGCAATAACAGCAATAGAGATCCTTGTGCATCCTTATAGAATCTTCATTAATTGACAAATGTCATACAAGATCCCTGAAGTTTTCCTACCCGTTTGCAGGTCCTCCATCCTTCAAAGCCAAAGAAAATTATGTTTGACTAAAAATACTAGTATTCCTAATTTTTGTTTCCCCACTAGACATAATGAGAAATTTTATTCCTTTAAGATTAGCTATATTTAAAACTTTAGAAATACTGTTCCATGAAGTCCAAGTTGAATTACTCCATATTACAGGCTGATGTTTCTCTATGACAGTAGGTATACATGTAGGAACTAATATTTTATATCATTTTTAATCCATGCCTAAATCTGCACCAAACAAATTCTTAGATTAAATTCAAGACAGAAGCCACACCTTTGAAAGTTACTTGACATTTCAACTGTTATCCAGGTTATATCAATTAAGTTCCTCAATGATGAGGAACCCATCATTTGCAGCCCAGAAGGCCAACCGTATCCTGGGCTGCATCAAGAGAAGCGTGGCCAGCAGGTCGAGGGAGGTGATTCTGCCCCTCTACTCCGCTCTTGTAAGGCCCCATCTGGAGTACTGCGTCCAGTTCTGGAGCCCCCAACATAAGAAAGACATGGACCAGTTAGAACAAGTCCAGAGAAGGGCCACCAGGATGATTCGAGGGCTGGAGCACCTCTTCCTATGAAGACAGGCTGAAAGAGTTGGGGCTGTTCAGCCTGAAAAAGAGAAGGCTCAGGGGAGATCTTATAGCAGCTTCCAGTACCTGAAGGGGGCCTACAAGAAAGCTGGGAAGGGACTTTTCATAAGGGCAACTAATGACAAGACAAGGGGAAATGGCTTCAAGCTGAAAGAAGGTAGGTTTAGATTAGATATTAGGAAGAAGTTTTTCACTGTGAGGGTGGTGAGACACTGGAACAGGTTGCCCAAGGAAGTTGTGGATGCCCCCTCCCTGGAAGTGTTTAAGGCCAGGCTGGATGAGGCTTTGAGCAACCTGATCTAGTGGGAGATGTCCCTGCTGATGGCAGGAGGATTGGAACTAGATGATCTTTAAAGTCCCTTCCAATCCAAACCATTCTATGATGATTCTATGATATTTTGTATAATCCTGGTTTTAGGAAACACAGAGTGAGTTTGTCCAGTTAAGGTGTATGTTGGCTTAGGTCCAGTACATACCTATTTACTCTCCTGAGCAATAATTACAAAAAACACACAGCAAATACTTTAAAAGTCTGTGTTTCTTCATACATTTCACTAAAATTGATGTAGTTACATCTTTTGAAGCTACAATAGCAAACTAACTTCATGCATTTGTACCAACCTAATTTTAAAGAACCTGGTATGCTTACAAAAAAATCCCTTCACTTTTTCAACACAGACCAGATTTTTTTTTTTTTTTGTTAGGCTGGGTTTTTCTAAGGGTATTAATAGCATGAAAATAAATTAGAGCTACAGGTAAGCAGCCTTTGACTTAAAGAACTTTTAAAATAATGGTTTTCTTCCTTATGTAAAACAGTGAGTCATTGGCTTAGTTTCAGTGTGGATGGATTTAAAAGTAGGTAATGGTAATAACAACAAGTAAAGATAAATTTGCCAGGAAATGAAAAATAACAAATCAGCTTACAAAGATCTGCATTTTTAAAATTCATACTTTTCAGAACTTATGCATTCTTTTTTGATTACATACCTACATGTATGTATACATGGCAAGAAAATCTGCTAATAAGCAAACTGTAGTCTGTTTTTCCAGCAATTAAAAATAAAAGCATTTTGTCATTTTTGGAAAACAAAGTTTTAACTTATGTCAAGTAAAACCTATCTCAAGATACAAAATAAATGGAACAAACTTACTTTGAACATCTGCTTGAAAGATTGTGTATAGCAAACAACATACAATACAAGACACAGAATGATAATAGTTTGTCAATGCTCAGTAGAATAGAACAGTTAGATAGTTATTGTACAAATTGGATACCTGGGTTAAAAAACAGAAAAATACTGAAGACTTCTTGAGGGGAAAATAAGATTGAAAAAAATCATGTGTCTACACAAATCTATGACTTTCCTTAACCATTTCCAAAATTTAATACCTCTTCAGATTAATGATTCTCTTTACTTTGCTCTTTATAGGAAGGTTAGTGCAAGCAGTCTACCAATCACAAAGTGTGGCAATTTTACAAGGATATAATAATAATTTCAATTAAATTACCACTTTGTTACAACTGTGGAAATTAAGACCCACTATTTTCATATATTAAGAGGTACCGGATGCAGCTCAGGCTGCATGCTCTTCCCCACTGCCCTTTCCTTATGTATAAACAGGATGAAAGGGTGTGATGAGACAGCAACTGGTCTTGCTAAAGGTTGAGAGACTGGAAAGGTGAGATCTTAGCGCTGGGCTGAGCTGAGCTGTTTTATTCAATATACTCTTGCCACCTGGCAGGTAAAGTGAAGGAGAGAGATCAGTGCAAGCTGTCAGTGCTTCAAAGTCTATCATGGCATTCATCTGCTGATTGTTGTAAATGAAGGAAACTTTTGTTTTCAAACTCATTCAAAACATTTTCTTTTCTATCTGTCTCAAGACCTAACATTCCCATAAGGCAAACATGTCAAAAGCACTCTAGCATGTTAGAACCGTGTCTAACAGTGTTAGAACTTTGGGGTTCATAGACTGCAGAGGTAAATTAATGACAATGCTCAACCACAGGAAAAGGGAGCAAGCAGCTTATCTCTCCTAAAAATTTTGCTTTGTGTGAGAGAACACAGAGAGACACAGCAGTACCAGCCTGGGTACCTCTTTAGCAACTTTGACCACTGATATCCTAAGAAATTGAGTCCAAAGAATATCAGCACCAAGCAATAAGTTTCAAGCATGGAATCTGCCAGTTGCAAAAAATGAACAATGCCTGCTGAGGCCAAGCATCATTATCTATTTTATTTATTTATATTTTCCCCCAAACGCAGTATATTTACCAGAATTACTTTTGGTTTATTTCTTCTTATTCCTTTTAATAAAGAAACAGTAATCCCACTGCTGAACAATGCAAGTAACAAAGTTGGGGGATGTGAAAAAATTCTGTAAGTACGTAGAGTTCACCAGCCTGAAATGGTATCAGTGTAGCATTCAGTATAACAAACGGGTCTACCATGTTATAAATCTGGTTAAGCTTTTTCCTTGAACAGATTGCTGCTCTGAATGATGCAACAGTAGCTATTTCACCTAAAACTGACTGCTAAATGACATGATCCAAAGCATCCAAAACCTCAAAAATGCTCTCTATACTTAATGTCTTTAATCTTGTGCTGCAGGCACATCAGTAGTTAGCTGCATCCATTGTGTTACTTTCAGTATTTTGTCTTAAAAAAGCCTCAATTTTTCACTCGTGTCTGTACAGAAAAAGTCACTTAAACTAAAAGTACATCAAAAGGGATCACAAAATTTCCAATCCACTCTGTTTAACCTTTTGCTCTGTTCCACAACATGACTGGGGAATTAAAAATTATTAAAAATTTAAGACTGCTCACTTAAATGCAGAATGCAGGGTCTTAGAAAGGGTGATGACTTTGTCTAATAAAGATGTTTTCGATGTAGAGTATTTCAATTTTAGAAGATGGTTTCCAATCCCCTTAGCGATTCCAGTGCTTTTCAGCACCTTTAGTGATCTTTACTAATGTTATAAAAAGGAAAAGTCTAGCTGACAAGAATCTAGCATAATTACACATCACTTCAAAACTGATAAACCAAAAACACTACTAAAATCTGCACAATAGCACAATAACCTCACTATGAAGAACACTGTGTAACCGTGACTTTTCTTTTTCTTTTTTTTTTTAAATTCTGCACCCCTCAGTAATATAGTGATGCCACTTACAATACAAAGAAGAAAGAAAACCAAAGTATTTCCAACTTCTAAAATGCTATGGTGTCTTCCCAGCTGATGGTGTGTTTTGTTACAGGCAAGAGCCAGGAGCAGAAGTGAGGCACAGGGAAGCAGATATAACTGCAAGAGAGGCGAGGACAGTAATAAAAAAAGTGACATGGTCACATGTCCTGGTTTTGCTAAGGGGCATGAGGAGCCCCACCATATGAACTTTTTGTGCCAGAATGC